GGTGGTCAAAATGCGCCCGCTTGCAACACTCGCGCGAGACAATGGCTGTGCAGGTCACATTCGACGCCGTATCTCATTAGGAAAAGGGCAAGGTGTCCATTCTGCCGCCAGCAGGGCATATTAAGAGCACGTTCACTCAGTACTCACCTCTGCGGGTCCTTGGGAAACGGGTGCAGCTTCAAGTGCCTGAGTTCTATCTTCCTTCTTCTGCAAACGCTACAGTACCTCTTGCTGCCGAACATGGTCCCCCTTCATGGTCCTCGATAACCAACACAGCGATTCCCTGGGTGGCGGTGGCGCCGCCAACGGCCGTTAGTGTAACTAACAGGTATGATATAAATCCTATTCCTCAACCTAAGATTTGGTCAAGATATCATCTCGGTGATTCGATTAATTTCTTGGCGAAGCAGTTCCTGATAAAACCGACTTTGGATAGTAAGTTTTTTGTTGGTAGTGATGTAGAGATTTCGCAAGCTGTGATGCTGCTGCGCCAATGGGAACCGGGGAGGGAGCGCGAGCTGTCCCCTCATTGGTGCAAGGCACCTGTCATTAACGAAAGAACCTTGATTTATGGGAATATAGTCGGATGATTCGATATCATTTACTTCCTATATTACATTGAGCAGCAGATGGTATAGCGTAGCATATGTTTGATAATGATGACGAAACCAACAGCGCGTAGGATGTGGGATGTGAAGGTGAATGGCACATCTGGGTCACGTCCATGGGTCGACAGGGGGACAGTGCACAGGCGCCCCTTCACCCTGGAGGGTCAGGCTAACCGACCTCCCGCAATGTGCCGGAGGACACGCAGTCAGTGTTAGACCCAGCGCACGCCATAGTAACAGCCGCATTTTTATTTCGTTTCTAGTTACACTACTTCATCTCAAACTCATAATCTTCTCCAAGTTCAGTTGTTACACATTTTTTTAGGTCAATTATTATCAATTACAAATGTTGCTATTATTAACAACTGCCATGATCAATAACATTATTACAAGAGAAATAACAACTGTTATCTATCCAACCGAAGACCAAGAGAAGGAGAAACCCGATCCCAACACGAGAGAAGAAACATCCCCGTCACAGAACCGCCGCAGACACGAAAAACAAGGACCAACAACCCCAAAGAAATAAATACAGATAAAGATGAACGTAGCGGCAACTGAGCGGCGGATGTCCCGAGTGGCAATACCGCTCGCCCGCTCTCGACGGACCTTCCTCCTCCCCTCAACCGCTCGCGAGACTGACACGTTGATTACAACAACCTCCGCCATCGGGAAAGGGAAGGAGGGGAAGGAAATAAACATGGGAGTTGGTCAAGCGCGCGGTCAGAAGGAGGTGGGGAGGCCGAGGGAGAGGGAGGTGGGGGGAGGATGGGGGAGATTCAAGAAGATATGGTGCGGGGAGGTGAGCAATCGAGATTAGAAGTGATAGTGACGATTGTTGTGTGTTGTGATTGTGGGGTCAGTAAAAGTAAGAAAAAAAAACAGCCAAACAATAAATGTTGATGGATGGTGAAGGTATCAATAGTGGTGATAACATACGTAATGTATAAAGTATAATTGGTACAAGAAGTTGTATCATATATAATTGTATGTATATAGTGGCCGTAATTAATACCACAACTGTGATAGTAGTATCATTTGCATGTATATAGCCATCGCAATTGAAAGCATAACTGATAATTAAGATGAGAGTCTTGGTAATCATAGATAAACGGAGGTAAAGAGATTGGCTTTGAGACGTTCATCTCGCGCCGCTAGTCTTCCTTGTCCGTATCGCTTCCTGTGCAGTCCCAAGGAGTTGCTCTCGCCCCCTTCGCTGGAATTACTATTCATTAACTTTTCATTTGACTTCCTTGGGGCTAAGAGCTCCCGTCCAGTCAACGAGCTCCTCAACTATCATCAACACACTGATCTTAACACGAGGATTCACTCTCTATCTGTCTATGTGTGTGTGTGTGTGTGTGTGTGTGTGTGTGTGTGTGTGTGTGTGTGTGTGTGTGTGTGTGTGTGTATATAATAATATATATATATATATATATATATATATATATATATATATATACATATGTGCGTATACGTGCATATACAAGTGCGTGTTTGCGCGCGCGCGCGCATTGTATATGTATGTATGTGTATGTATATATTTATGTTTGTGTGTATGTATGTCTGTGTATGTATATATTTGTGCTTGTGTATGTATGTCTTTCTAAAAACATCTCAACTTCATATCCCGTCCCATCCCTCCTTTTACCTCTTTATTGACTGAAAACTTTGTTGAATCTTTCAGGACAAGTTCCTCAACTGAAGAAGCCAATGTTTTTTTACGGATCCAAACTAGAAAATGGTTCATGTATTAAACAGACTGAAAATGTATTTATCCAAATACTCATTCTGGAAAAAAACAATTTTCAAGACGAAACATTTTGTATACTTACTCATTACAACCAGTGCTCATAAAGGAAATTGAACGCATTTTTTAATTGAACTAGTGTTCTATGCCCAAAAGACAATAGAGAATCACTGCCATAGGAGACACTCTAGTGTTATTTTCAACGTTGGGAATATGGGTGTTGCATTCCCAAAGTACTGTGATATTTTACCGATTGCCAGATACTCATGAATTCTCAATTTTTTGTCGTAATTTGCCTGCCAGAGAGCTCATATGCTTTTGGATAACCGAGGTTTACCGCCACTAAAGCAGCCAGTAACATTGATGTGTATAGATCAGCAGAAATGGCGTGCATTGATTTTTAGAAAGGCAGGGATTTCAGTTAAGGAAAACGGAATTTGCTTAAAAGATCACTGTTATTACGAAGGAGAGAAAAGTCAGGGATTGGCCAACCCATTCCCCCCTCCCCCTCCCCCCTCCTCTCGCTACTTGGGCTACTGCTCAGTAGGATATTATTGCCGAAAGATTCTTCGCCATAACATATTCGATATTTCAGACTGCTCTCTCTCCATCTGTTTGACTGAAGTCTTTCGTTGCAAGATAACAAGCATTTAGAAGTTAGTGGGTAATACGTTTACACTACTTGTAGAAAACGACCCGCAGTTATTATTACTTAGGGAACTGTAGTGTTTTCTCAAGTTTCAGCATTATGGATGGAATTGCTACGGTGCACTCAGTCATAGGCACTGTTCTTCCTGCAACACAAATTCCCAAGCTTACTCTCTAGTCGACATGGCCAAGGCATAATACATATGGAATCACTGCTGTTTCTGTGATTGTTAGGCAAAAGTCAAGAAATGTTCACTGCTCAGCACTTGTAAGGTCCATCCCTAATCGAAATGTCACAGATGTAACATCTTTGGTCAAAGTTGTTGCACTCAGCTGAAGGGATGCAAGTGGTATGTGGATAATTTTTACTTAAATTTGATTGATCAGAAAATGCTCTTTCATCAGGATGCTTCGTTTTCGTTGACTGTCTTGATGTTAAAAACTACACACACATCAGACTCTGGACGATATAAAGGCACTAACAAAGTATAACTGCCACATGTTGGTGAGGTTACGTGATCCTTCCACTCAACAGGGAGGCAAAGTGGGGCTAATTCTACCTCCTGTGTTGCTGCTACGTTCTTCTACTCTAGACTTATTTGAGCAGCACATGCTATTCTATTTTGTCAGTGTTAATACATGACTCGCATATCGATTTGGTAGACGGAAAGAGATTCGTAAAATAACAATGTTCAACCAATTCCACTCCCGCTTCTCAGATTGCTGTGCGACGCCCACCTCGCTTCAATTGCACGAGCCACAATTCTTCCAAAGACTGTTCTCATGAATAACTTTACAGTAGTTTTTTACCCTTGACCCATGCCCTCCATTTCAAGCCGTCCCAAGAGTGACTTCGTAAGCTGTGATCATTCTTAGTGTCTTCGGTTGTCTTAAGACTGCTGCATTTGAATCCGAGTGATTGCATTTCAGTCCAAATACTTTAGCCTACCGACGTTTTAAGTTTCTTCATTTTTGTGTGTGTATTTATTATGTATTTATTATCCATGTTTCAATTTCATACCTCTCTCTCTCTCTCTCTCTCTCTCTCTCTCTCTCTCTCTCTCTCTCTCTCTCTCTCTCTCTCTCTCTCTCTCTCTCTCTCTCTCTCTCTCGGTTATTGCCATGCTTATTCTGTGGAGCATGTGGTGTGCCCCATTATCAAATGCATTATATTGTTCTATTGACATGTAGCATATACCACTTTTATCATTCCAATTCACATTACCGTTGTCATGGCCTGCAAACAAACATCACTAGTACCTCCATTACCACTTTGTGCTACTGTACCTATACGTGTAAATACAGGCAATAAGTTTTTTCTTGGCGTTACTCCCCTGGTACTGTTTCTTCCTCCGTGGGCCAGAGGATGCGCTGGCTCGTCAGAATATCAGCTCACGGCCTTGACTCTCCTTCACCCTTCTGTAAAGTCTGTTACCGCTTTTGTCAGTTAAATTCGGGCTATATATCGTTTTCGGTTTGGTTAGCCTTCTAGATTGCACTGCTTCAGAGACGAAAGAGCAATCAGCGACTCATTGTTTTCGTCGTTTCTAAGAAATTGCATTGTGGAGCAATATCATCTACATCAGCTCGATTCCACTCTCTCTCTCTCTCTCTCTCTCTCTCCTCTCTCTCTCTCTCTCTCTCTCTCTCTCTCTCTCTCTCTCTCTCTCTCTCTCTCTCTCACACACACACACACACACACACACACACACACACACACACACACACACACACACACACACACACACACACACACACATTACCCTTTATCTCTTTTCCTTTCTGTTGAGTCTGCACCCTAACCCTCGGGTCAAGGTACAGAGCCTGGTGATTTTTATTTTAAAAAAAAAAAAGTAGTTGTAGTGAGGCAAATACTGCGTAAAACATAACGGATGTCGGAATACCTGTCAACTTAGAATATTGAAGTGCATGAGAGTGCATTTTTTAAAAACATCAAAGCAACGCAGGATTGTAAAAAAAACTACGGTGATTATCTGGCAGCGGTTAATACAGCGGTTAATGCTAACCTAACCTAATCTAACCTAACCATACGTTCGAATAACGCCTTATTATCAACACTGCTCTTATTTTACACCTTCTTTAGTCCCTTTCCCTCACATAATCTCTGTGTTTTGTTCTTGTTTTGCATTTTCGTTCGTTCACTTTCACTGGCTGTTGTTCAGTGGCTGTCTTGAGCTAAATTGCTCTTGATTTTAGTCCCTTCGGTTCATTTCTTAGTTCAGTTTAGTTGTCCCATTTCAGTTTAGGTGTTCCATCTACCCTACATGTCCAATAATTAAGAGATTATATGTATTATCTATCTATCTGTTAGTATTTATATATGAATATATATTTTTTTTTCTTGCCCATGAGAGGTAGGTGGCAATAGGCAGAATGTAATATAACCAAATGATATGAACGTATTTCAGATAATTACCATTGTCTGTTATCGAGTAAGCATCACCAACAACCTTTTAGGCTGTTATCAGTCAACAAATGCATCTTTCCCACGATAAAACAGAAAAGTGAGTACAGGGTGTAGTCATTTCATCTCTTTTAAGAAACTGCCATACTTTTTCTCTTTTCCTTTTTTAGATCAAACAGTATGGCCATTCGAACAGCTCTCTACTATTGCAAATTCAACTTTTAGTTATGTATCCATATAGGCTTGGCTGCTTGTTTTTAACACACTGACACGTTTATCTATACATATATATTATATATATATATATATATATATATATATATATATAATATAATACACACATATACATACATACATATATATATAAATGTGTGTGTGTGTGTGTGTGTGTGTGTGTGTGTGGTGTGTGTGTGTGTGTGTGTGTGTGTGTGTGTGTGTGTGTGTGTATGTTTGTGTTTGTGTGTGTGTGTGTGTGTGTGCGTGTGCGTGTCTATATATATATATATATATATATATATATATATATATATATATATATATATTATAAATGTTATGGAATACGCAAACTATTTAACTCTTTTATAAATATCATCAATGGTAAAGATAATCAGTAACTTCCTCATAAATAGAGAGTGTTAGTAGTATGAATATTTTTTGTAGCACAACCCTGATCAGTTCTGTGATACCGAAGGTCTGACTTCTGTCCACGCATGAACAGATGTTTATCAACACAATTCTTACATTGACATTTCATCATGATTTATCGATGACCGGATAATATATAATCGAATACATGCTCATTAAAGGTGGAGATTTTGTCTATTTGGTGCAGGCATGGTATTCTTTTCTTCCGTTTGTAATTCCTCCCTCCCGTGTTGAGAGAGGGTGAGTGAGCGACACAGGAGAATATGGCCCACTGTAACAGGACAAGAATTCAAGGTCAGGCACGGTGGTGAAGGCTTGGCGGTCGCTAGTCTACCCGGGTGGCGAGAGTTTGCATTTATTCTTTACCAATATATATTACTTAAAACGTTTATATAATTATAAATTATTATTTGTAGAACATAACAAAATGAGGATAAGATCAGTGCCTATTATTATTATTTGTAGGACATATCAAGATCAGGATAAGAAGATTTAGTGCCTTTTGATCTTTCTTTTCTCCAAATTTGCTTTTCACAGATGAGTTGTTAGTACCAAGGGCTGCGATGTGGTTCTCAAATCTTATTATAGCTGCCAGTGGGCTAACAGCGAGTGTTGCTAGTGATGTTTTGTCTCGGGAGTGAGTTAACATGTAGGATTGCTGCACTGAGTTGACTTTGTATGCCCCCCCCCCTCTCTCTCTCTCTCTCTCTCTCTCTCTCTCTCTCTCTCTCTCTCTCTCTCTCTCTCTCTCTCTCTCTCTCTCTCTCTCTCTCTCTCTCTCTCTCTCTTTCTCTGTCTGGTCAAATATAGTGGTCAAAATATGTAGTAATGTTTATATACATCTTGGCAGGTTCTGGGTCCGTGTTCTCAGCTCCCCACTATTGTAGTCTATTTTTTTTTTTACCGCTAGATGACAATAACTGTCAGTAACAATTAACATGTTCATCATTTGATAATTATTAATATCTGTATGGTATGTATATTACATTTAATACAGTGGTAATATAGTGATACCCACATAATTGCTACTCATTATAAAATGAATCAGCGGTAGCTCTCTCATAAACATTGAATTGAAACGTCCAATTAATCAAGGGTATTGAGGATAGGGTCACATACATGCAATAGAGTTTCCTTCATGTAATACGAAACATCAATCATTTGCATTCTTTAGGGACAGTGTTATCGGTTCATGATTGTTTGTTGAAGAATAACAACAAAAGAAAATCGCTGTAGGAACCTTGGTCAGACTCCCAAATGACGGACAGAGACCCAGCTGTTCACGCCCTCCCTGCCTGGCGCATGTGTTGAGTTGCGGGCGAGTACCCTGTCTGGACCGATCGTAATATGCAACACCTGTGATCACTTCATTCCCCGTTCGTGCCAGTGGAATTCATTATGAAGATCAACAGTCTAGATTAATCGCGCGGAAGATATTCGACGAATATTAGCTCAGTCGAGAATTTCCATGGTTAATATGTTTAATGCTGTCATCACTAGGCGGCAACAGTGACAGTGTCGCCATATTGTCGTTCCTTTTTTTGCTTTCCTTTGTCTTATCTAAGATGAATTTGTAAGGCTCTGCTGACTGCTTCAGGGGGAGTGGGGGTTCTCAAGGATAAATTGATGTACTTTATGAGGGTATTTTGTTTGTTTGTTTTTGGGTTTGTTTTTAGTATCATCGTGGATTTATGGATAAGATGGTGTTGCCATTACTGTTAATGTCACTTTCTTCTCTACATGTTTTGGGGTTTTTCATTCTGTATTTTGTTACAGAATGCTTGGACTGCTACTTTTATTTATTTATTTATTTATTTTTGGTAGCTATAATTAGCCAATATGAGAAACCATTTCCACGTTCCACTCATTGTTGAAGTGCTTTACATTAAGAACTCCATAAGCCGTCAATTTTTCTCAACGAAAACCAAGTTGGAAACCAGGAGGAATAGCAGAAAGGTCTGGACGCGCACCGGAGGCTCACTAAGGTTAACTTGAAATGTGGAAAGCTGGAGGGGGAGGGGGATCTATGGTCAGCCTTGAGGTAGGACAAAAAAATAAGTCAAGACACGGTTTACTTGACTTGAAATGTTTTAATTACAGAACAACTTTTGTAGAAGACCATCAACCAAATATTAGTTAGAAATTCCTAAGAGGCCACACCATAGTGCTATCCTTGTTTATGTATCTAGTTGATAAAGAGAAATCTTGTACAAAAAACAAAAGAAAACAAAACGAGAAGAACGTTTGCAATAGGATCACAAAACTCAGCAAGTTGTATTCACAGAACTGCTGGTTGAATAGTAGGACAGAGTAGGTACTGAGTAAGGTTATGGGACCTAGATGTTTTATACATTCGGCCTTTTCTCTAAAACTGTATTCTTAACGCAATGGATTGTGTAGTGCACTAATAGCCTTAATGTGGTACTCTTGTCAATATAATCTGTTCTCTGGTAGTCATTATAGTTATTAAGCTTGTCACTGTTGCGCATCTTTCATAGGACTAGACAGTTGAAACAGGACAACTGAAGAAGTTTATTTTCATGCGTTTGAGACTAGGAATTATACTTACATCAAATCGAGGAATTATCAAAGTACTGTAGATATGGAAAATAAGCTGTTGGCAAATATTGAAGACAAGTTATTTGTTGGGAAATAAAGTAAAACGCGAAGATAGGTCTATCCCTTGAGCTAGTGAAGAAGCCAGAGAAGCACCATCTTCAAAGTCCTATTTTCCGTTTATTATTCCAGTCCCAGATTTAGTTTATTCTCGTAAATCGCGTGAAAAAAGATTAACGTTTTAGTTTTTAAGTTTTTTCTCAGGCTGTACTTATACACTCTCGGCTCAGAAAGCTATCCCGAAAATGATTTTATTGTTTATGTATAATATAAATCATTATGAAATACAGTGGTTGTTTGTAAATGCTCAGTGAGAAAAAAAGTGCGTATGTTCGTGTCCGTCTTGTTGCAGTGAGCACATTTTTTTCAGTATGTATCGCCCCGATCATTTTATTATCGTTTTCGCGTTTACTGATCTAAGTATGTGGGTTTGTTTACTTGCTCCATTTGATTTATTTCATTTACTTATCTTTATACTCTTGTTCCGTATAGCGATTAAATGTTCAATTGTAAGTACGAAGCCTGGCCCTTGCAGTTTTGCGTATTGCAAAAAAAGAGAAGGAGAGGGAGAGAGGGAGGGAAAAGGAGAGGAGAGTTGATGGAAGAGAGAGAGAGAAAATATGCATATATAACAGTGAGAGGAAGTCCATAGAGAGAAGTCGCAGAGGTAGGACTTAGGGACAGGGAACCACGAGGAAGGACCGGAAAATCAATACTGGATGCGTCTAGAGTACAGTGGAGTATAGAGTGAGGTGAAAATATCAGGACATGGAGAGATGGTGGTAACAGTCAGCGTAGGTGTTTTGTGTCTTTATTGTCACCGTTTCCAGAAAGACAGAGCCGTAAATGTGCTGCACATGAAGAGATTGCCCAGTTAGTGATTGTTTTCCACTGCCTGGCCTCTTAATCTTGTCGACCGCGCCAGCACGGTAGCGTGGCCATACGCCGGTCGAGATGTGGGGACTCGGGGTCCATCGACCGTGGAAAGGCAGCACACCTCCATGGTCCTCCCAGGGCTGGCTGCCAAGCTTCGTCTGGCGTATGCTGCGCTGGAAGGTGGAGGGGGGGGGGGTACTGGTTTTGGTTGGGGAAAAAAACAGCTTTCTATGTGCCTGTAATAGGTTGTATTTTGTTGCAGGTGTGTTATTGTGTAGCAGGTATCTTATTGCACTGCATTTCACATTATTTTATCTACCTAGTAAGTGCTGATCTACCAGTATCATGCCAAATGCTTTTCTAGTGCCGTCGACGACATTGTGACCTATGTATGGGGCATGTTTGTATGCAAGTTATCATCCAAAGAAGTGTTTGGAAAAATTAACGGAATAAGATAAAAATACAGCACATTGAGATACATGTTTTCCCCATATGCAAGAAAAATCTAATGTTATTTTTTTTTTCTATTTCACAGGTTCAAATAACGCTGCTTTACTGATGGAGGATGGGGCTTAGGACGATGTTCCACTCCTAGTGAAGAGTCGGGTGGACTTCCTGCACATGCTAATTAGATTCCTACACTGTACCAAAGTCAAAATTTGTCATCAGTGCGAACTACGAGAATTTAAACTAAAGGGGCCCAAGCAAGTCTGCTAAACGAACACGTGACCCAATATCCCACAGTCAAGGAGAGACTCGTTCCCGCTGACACTTCCGTTTTAGCTTGTAAACAGCAGTGCAATTTGCAAATACACGTAGCGACTGAACTTTTGACTCCGATAACTACATGATTAAGACACTATTCATTCTCTGTTTTGGTATGATCATTCGCCACAACAAAATCTTTAAAATGGGATCCAGTGTCAGTCACTCAACAGAGGAAACCGAGCTACCATCGCTGGTTCGGTTCATAATCCGCCGGACCTGAAGCGGAGTCATCATTCACCACTCGCCTCTCGACCTGCCAACACGTGTACTTGGTCGTTCAATAATAAAGAGATAAAATCCAGTTAGATTTCATATCCACAACACTCACCTTTAATCGTCGCATTAAAGGGGAAAATGTGACGTTGGATAGTGCCAGTCATGTTTGTGACTTGCTTTGGAAACGCCAAAAACCTCGCTCATTATGAAATATTTGAAGTCTTGTAGTACATCCTGTACCTCCTTGATGTTTGCTGAAGAGTTTCTCGAGGAAGACCACGTTTTCCCTTAACTTCCTAGACACTATCAACCCTGAAGGATTCCTTAAATTCCTACTTTGGCGTTTTGTAGGAAAGTCTTATACTGTTTCATCGTTGAACCAGTTTCGCTAAGCACAACCTCCTTTTTCTCATTTCACAAGCAGATTAACCCATCTCTGTTATCGATACTCAGGTTAAAGCAATTTATTAACCAAGGATTACTCTCTCTCTGACAACCAATTTGTCAAGGATGAACTCTGCTTCAGGTACGAGTTGTATGAATGTAAATCTATGTAAAGTTTAGCCAGAAAATTAACATGCTGATAATTTTTAAAGTGCCGTTTCTAAATTAATTGAAATATAACGATCTTTACATTTTACCTTATTGTTTCATTTGCAGCTATGTATATTCGCTGGATGGCCTCATTCATATATACTGAAGTAAATTCCGAGCAATTTTGATATGCTGAATCATATTTGACATATCTTGCCCCGGTTGGTATGCACTCTAGTCAGACACGGTGTTGACAAATTGAGCACGAAACTGATTATCTCTTAAGTAATGCAGTAGCACGGGCCATTCCGTGAAATATATTCATGTGTGTGTGTATAATACACACATATATGCATGCACACACACACACACACACACACACACACACACACACACACACACACACACATATATATTATATATATATATATATATACATATATATATATATATATATATATATATACATATATATACATATATATATATATATAATATATATATATATATATATATATTATATATATATATATATATAAACTCGTCTATGAGCGGGAATAAGTACAATTATGATGACCTGACATTTATTTTAGGTAATAATGTGGTCGTCTTTGTTAGAACACTACTAATATTACTAGTGAGAGCAACAGTGATGACGATGATGAGGATGAGGACGATGATGATAATGATATCAATGGCAATAATAATAATATCAATGATAATGCTAACAGCACAAAATAGGTAATATATTCTTACTAGTTTTCTTGCTAAAGGTTTGTTTACTGATGAGACATCCCAGCACCCGTGGCGCCCTGGACTAATATATATATATATATATATATATAATATTATATATATATTATATATATTATATATATATATATATATATATATATAGTCATATAGACCTTGCCCTGGACTACGTGCTTATGATCTTAAAACTGCCCAGACCCGGGATCGAACCGGGGACCTTTAGATCTTCAGTCTAACGCTCTCCCAACTGAGCTATCTAGGCTTCTTATCTGACGAATATTGTCCATCAGATCCTGATAAAATGTATATGATTTTCAAGAAACAATTGATGCTGATATATACTGTTCGCTATAATCATTGTTGTTTTCCACTACATATCGTGTAATTCCTTATTTAGTCTCTTAATGGTGGTCTTCCCCTGGGGACTTTGATATTAACAATTATTAATGTAGTGTTTTATATTCACTGCAGAACCTCCTGCCTCCTCCTACTAACTACTATTTAATCATTTAAGATTTTTTCTTCCGTCGATGATCACCCATACGGAAAATCTTAACGAGGTTCTGTTGAAATCTTTCTGTTGTGGCAGTGAGTTGGATAAATGATTATTTCCTGTCAAATGCTTTTTACGTTGTTAGGAATAGAAATACAAATGGAAATAATTTCATTCCTTAAAAAATGCTTTAGAAATTCCGTTAAAAATTAAACACGGATAATATATATATTTTTCTTACCAGTTTATATTATCATTATCATAACTGCACATTACCAGGAGGGAGGGTGACTCGCGAGCTCCATCTTTGTGACATGACATTAGCGCTAAAAGGTGGAAATCGTGACCAATTCGAAACACCAGCCGACAAGATACCACTACCTGAGTCTTGTATCATACCTTTACTTTTCTTCATGTTCTGTCTCGTTTATTTGGTCCTTTTACTTATCAATCATTTACAAACCCAAGTGGTTGACATTCGTCTTTTTTATTTGCGAGTTACTATTGTTCCAGTCGAGTAATCTACAAATGAGATTCAATGAATATGATGAAATTAGAGCAAGTTACCCCTTGAAGTGCATATACCAGAAGCTTACGCGTAAACCCCTCAGCTTAGTATCATAAGACATTGTATATTTGGTTGTGCACCTTTCATTAATTCCAAATTGGAGTATATGTATTGTTTTTCTATTGTGATTAACTAGTGTGCTTTCTTTTCTTTAAACTCTCTGACGGCAGCCTATAAATTTCATTGATTTATTACTTTTTCACAGATACTGTCGGATTTTGAGTTAAATATCATATACACAGAAAAATAATCAATTGATGCTCAGTGTTTTCCGTGGTGCTTAACCCTGCTCGATAGCTGTCGCACAGACAGAAAAATAGCCACACGTTTTCAGTCCAAATTCCTTCATATCACAGATAAAAAAAAAAAAAAAAAAAAAAAAAAAAATGACACGCACACACGTACATGTGTGTGTTTATATACATGTGTGTGTATGTATACATAAATATATACATATAATATATATATATTATATATACATATATATATTCGTATACATGTATATGTATATACACATACAAATGCATATACAGACACACACACACATATATACATATATATGTTATATGTACATATATAATAATATACATATATATATATATATATATATATATATATATATATATATATATATATATATATATTCATGTATATACATGTATATGGATAGTATATACATATATATACACATATATGTATATGCATATATGTATATGAATATATGTAGGCCTATATATATGTGTGTATGTAAGTAAAATTGTGTGTATATATATATATATAATATATATATATATATATATATATAATATATATATATATATTATATATATATATATAATATATATATATATTATATATATATTATATATATATATATATATATATATATATATATATATATATATATATATATAATATATGGTGGTGATAATGCTCTTTTATGGCCTGATGATTTAATATTCAGGGTAATGAGGAACCCGCTGGTGATTTTCTTTTGAATATTCTCAGGAAACTACTGACTGTCCTTTCCAGCAGCTAAATTGAAGGTTAAAAAAGCTTCTGGTTGGCATAACTGATTTTGACAGAGGCTGGAGTTTGTCCTGTAAAATGTCGAATAGCAGAGATGCCTTAAGGCCTGTTATGAATTATCATTCACATGAAGCCTTTCGGATCGCGCCGGAATCCCGTGATTGATCCACTTTTTACCAGATCCAGGATAATTGTTGAAGAGGTAGCGTGTATTTGGCTGTTGCTTCGCCGCTTGAATCGGCGCAAACAGCCATAAGGACATTAGGTTCATTCAATTGCACATGATAGACTTACCCAAGATATATTTACAACTTCTTGAGAGAGTACAATGCTGCGTTCAGAACTTGTCTTGCTCGTCCAGACCAGTTGGATGTTTTTGATCGTTCGGAACCTCCACTTTCTCGTCCTGGACAAGTTGTCCATCTCGCCCTCCTCCGAAGCTGGGCGAGCAGGACGAAATAACGTCACAATAGCATTTTTATGTTACCACAGGCAACCACAAGATATTGATGGGTAATTCTATGGCCCTTTATTGATGTTATCAAAGGATATTTTTGTGTTTGTCAGTTGTAGGTAAGTTAAATATGCATCAATGGAGTTACAAATCTATGCAGCGTGTAAAATAAAGACACCGGTATGATAAATGAGTGAATGTTTACAATCGAGCCGGTTGCATTCTGGGCAGCGAGGGTCTCAAAGGTTCCGAACGCGGCCTCGTTGTCCTGCTAGTCCTGCCTGGACAAGTCTGGACGAGCAAGACGAGGAGTTCCGAACACAGCATAACACTCATTTTTTCAGTTTTTGAGAATGTCAGTGAAATCATTGGGCGACATGCTGGGACGAATCAAGGACATACCTTCAACCAATACCATGAAGCATTCCATCTGCCAAGAACCGAAACTTGTCATAACATTAAGGTAGTCCTTTATTGATACAAATCCGTCTGTAAGTAAACCAAACAAAATATATCATCCTAGGCTCCACATGACAGTGAAGTGGATGCAAACAAGGGACCATTTTGATATTCATTCCATTGATTCCACTGACATCCCTGGAATCAGTCCATGTGGCGTCTACTGTTGCCATGGTAATGTAAAATCTCTTCACTCATTGGTTGGCATCCATCCAATGACGGTGCCTGCTGTCATCAAAACGCTAGGTTCAACGCTGTGTGAAAGATGCCATTTATTTGTATGTACTCGACATGCCAGCAAATTGAGCGGGTGCGGTGGGGGGGGGGCGATCTTGCAACCACAGCGGTTACGTGTGAACGATTCTAAAGACCAACACTGAAAATGCGACCATGCGTTTGCAACCGAGCGGTAGTTATCGCCTCTTATAGGGTGGAAGTGAAATACACATGAGTATGGAGGCACTAGGCTGCTTTCACAACAGGATGGCACATTGCAAGTGGCAAGTTGCATTTGACACATGGCACGGTGATTTCAGACCAAAGCATGGCAATGTGTCAGGCAGCAGCAGCATCGGATGCTGTTGTTCTTAGTCCTAATTAAGCTGGTGATAATGATTTATCTGTCATTTGGAGGAATAAGAGACTTGTTCCAATACCCTGTTCTATCTCTCTCCAGGGTGACTTAGTTTCCTTTGAAAACGACCAATAACCATGTCGTTGAGCAATAATGTTGTTAATACATTTCTATAGCAATTATTCTTACAGAAAGCCAAGTCTAAGGCGCCTTATCCAATCTATTTCCATACACAACCATTATTGGTTAGATAATTCAACCACGGCATTTGCGCGACAGGGAGTTCGGAAGTTCCAGGAAGCTTGGGAACGTGGAAATACCCCGACTCTAAATATGGATCCCAAGGGGTCTTTAAGGTGCATGATAGAGAAAACGAATATGTTGAATGCACATTAGTCGGCCTTTAATATCTCAGTCGAGTTGTACTGGACTATGATTACAACAACGCCAGGGTCACGACAGCAGCTTGTATATAAACGTATATGAGTCAGTCATCATGATTTAGGTGCCCTATTTTGACCCAAAGGGCGTTACCGAAAGGACAGCTGACTAGAGAACATAGGTATTGGGGAATAAAGGTACCAGGGAACACAGATACGCTCCCGGACCAATGATGCCAATCTGACTTGTAACACTGAGCTACTTGCGTTTAAACTTGCAGTCGAGTTTTGGCCGACTTATTGTAGTTGTCCATTTGCACCGAGGAATCCATCATTTTAATTGGGCCAAGGATGAACACAATCAGTTTGAAATAACTGGACCAATATAAACATTCTGCAATGTCTAATACTGGTCCAGTAAGGACTCTGAAACAAATTAAGCACTAAAAAGTAAATAAGTATGTGTGTGTGTATGCGTCCCTGAGAATGCCTACCTTGTTCTAATTCATAAAAAAATATTGGCTGAAGATAACTCATGGATTGTTTCGTCTCGTATATAATTTTCACCTCCCCCACACAAGGCGGAAGGGTGCCCTAAAAATGTTTTTAAAAAAGTTTTTTGTACTCTGTTCGGTACATATCAGGGGTCGCATTTTTTTTTCCTGATTTACCCTCCCAAAAATACTTGCATTGGATGTATCCTGTACTAGGGCCATGTAGATGGGCTGGTTGACAAAAAGAACTCTTTTTGTTCACTTTTTCAGATTTACATAATTATCTATTTGATTTATTCCAAAGTTTAAAAATCGGCTATCTACACGGCTTCAGGATTATGCTCTAGCAAAAGCAACAAACTGCACTTGAATCGCAGGAAAATTACAACCTCTGAGCTGTACCGAAGGGTGTATAAAAGTTCGGATAAAAGCTGTTACGAATTTTGGAAGCTTGCCAGAATTATTTATCCCTGTTATTTTTCGCTATATCTAATGCTATATATATAATATATATATATATATATATATATATATATATAATATAACAACTTATTGAATGTACTTTGTGATGTGATGATTACCACGTCCATCAGAATTATCGTTTTCAATTGGGACGACATTCTGTAAAATTCTCGTTTCTCGTTTTTCTTTTAATATAAAACTAGATATTTCTGTCTGAAAAGTTTGATTAACCAGACAAAACTTTTTTTCTTTTTTTTTATTACTAAATACAATTTTGAACACTTTGGATGGCAATATCAGTACAAAATCATACTAGTTATAAAGTCCTAGCATGAATATGGCGGTTCGATTTTGAGACATTTGAAAGCATATGTATGAAGTACATGGAATTTGAGACACCAAAGAATTTTTCCCATGCTCCACACATATGTAAAGAAACATACATAAGGTTAACCATCTTTTTCTTCCTCATTAAGGAGGCCTACATCGACTTTTAATGTAAAGGAATAAAATATATTAGTTATCCCTATCAAACCGTTTTCTTTGACAATTTACAAAAGTAAGTTTTCAACGAAAACTGAGTGTAGAGCTGGTGTTTAGTCATTTACACCCATTATCTTTGCTAGGAAGTGCATAACTTCATGAAACACCTAGGTGTGGTTGGATATTTGTGTATTTATAGTACCTAAGACCTACGGTAACATCTACAGGTAATATTTTGTTATGGAAACTTACGAAAAGGATGTGATAGCTGTTTCAACACTTGACGAAGCTTGTGCATACAAACGAGCTCAAAATTCCATATAGTGTTTATTTCAGAGTGGTGTTACTGTGTACTATCATCTTCAACATAAAATAGTCGGTATCTCGCTTATAACTACGAAGTTCAGAGATCCGACTCTTAGGTGCCCTTCGTATTGAGGTGCTCTTTACAGCAGAAACGACCAATTTCAAATCAAATCAAATTTACCGATGCTGAAAAATATTTTAATCATTATTTATAGGGCTATTTTAAAACATTAGTGCTTCGTACTCGATATGCATACGGATCCCTTCATAAGCTACATATTACCAGGGTCTCGATGGAAGTACACACAAAACTCACTTTTTTTTTTTAGATTTCACAAAATATTTAATCATAAATCACTGTTTTATTTATTTATTATTACTATTATTTTGTATAAAGGTGTTCTTTGAACATTCTTGGACTCATATCTATGCGCAATGTCATCAAATGCCATATGCAATATTGCAACAAGCCAAAGTCCACATAAGTGTATGGGCGCATATTAGCAGTGTACCTCCCCAGTGTTGGCGGTCTCTGCTGCCCAAGAACTAACCGTTGCTGGACTTAACAGTCGTTTGGTAGTTTCCTCATTCTTGTACCTATACAATACGGCCAGACTACCTATAGATTCGTGAAATCCAGCAAATTTTAATGGAATTAGCCATCGATGGACTCAATCCACTTTCGCCCACACGTTTGATGCAAATGGATACCCACTCGTCCATCAATGAACGTATAGAAAAACATTACACACTTTGAGAATATATGCATGGTATGCATTAAAAAAAAAAAATCAATGCATAAATATTATTCTGTATTTTAGATTATTAAGAATTATTCATGATTAGGTTTACATCAATATTTGCATTTAAATTTAAGCTAAAATACGAATAAAATAAAAGCAATTTACTCTCACCTACAAAGGGGTTAAACTCCGGAAACAGAATAGAGTTAGGGAAAAGATCCAGAACGAGTTTCTGCGGTCGATTTGCTTCGATAGACAAAACTGTGAACACCTTGGATGAATGGGTTGCTTCCAGCCCACAGAAAACTGATGGATTCCAGTGAAATTAATGGGCAGTCTGGCAGTTCCAAAACTCAATTTGACCCCAAAATCCCCCCCCCACGCATCCAGGGACGATCCTCATAAGTACAATTTCAATAAGTGAACAAAAATCGTAAAGTTTCGGCTTCAAGTATTGAAAAGTTAAAATTAATACAGGTATTTTATACACATCACACACACACACACACACACACACACACACACACACACACACACACACACACACACACACACACACACACACACACACATACACACACACACACACACACACACACACACACACATCATATATAACAAATGACTTTTTTTTTTTTCTTTTCTTTTTTTTTATATATTTAATTCACAGGGGAATGTTCTCCGAGGTGCGCATCTTCTGATTCCATTTACTCTTTTATTCTCCCTATAAATATCCATCACACAATCTAATTAGTGGCATCTGGCATCTTTAAATGTTTGAAACATTTACTCGTGGAAAGCTCCGAACAATAGAATGAAACAATAGAATAAATGAATCGGACGCTATATTTGGCTAATTGAAATGTAGTGCGATATAAGTGAAAGATATTTGTATCGTGATATATAACCTTTTTTCTTCTTTTAGCAAAGGAAATAATATCCAAAGAAAATCTTGGAAACTGGATTACCCCTTAATCTGTACTTTCTCTACTTATTTTCACACAACACAAAAAAAAAAAAAAAAAAAAAAAAAAAAAAAATATATATATAATATATATAATATATATATACTTTACTATATATATATATATATATATATATATATATATAATATATATATATATATATATATATATATGACGCAGGACGTTTTAATGATATCCATGTATTTTCAGCAGTCAACATTCAATTTACTTTCGCGGCAGAGACACAACACTAATAATACGACTCAGTAATGGAAGGAAAGATTTCCTCATATCTTTGGATTATGCTCTGTTGGCACAGCTGATTAAGGCAACAGCTGATAAAATTGCATACAGCTTTGAAACTTTCATTGCACAAGGCATAATATCTAGTGTTAAGTAGACATATTATCCGTTGAATTTAAGACAAGCAAGAATGTGTTGCTCTTTTGTCTTTCCCAGTTTTTATTATTATTCTCCTTGGCGGCTGCTCTTTGACACGTAAATGCCTCGATTCTTTCCGAAGAGACGCCTGAGTATAGCGAAATTGACGCCATGTTTGTTTTGATTCCTGGGCGAAGGCGCTGGCTGCAAGGAAATTTGAAGGCGAAACTCGACCCAGTATCAACAATTTCGAGTAAGGACCATAATTATTTGCGTATAGCATTCATTTGTAATCTTCATGACACCTATCGAAACATACTGTATACATTTATTACAGATTCATTCAATATGCATTAATACTATTCATGGAAGAGCAATTCAATTGATATGGTTTGCTGTCATTCAAAAGTAATTCAAATGTAGCCTCACATTGAATAAATTTAATGTTTCATACAGAAACTAAGGCTCATCAGGTAAATGACAAGTAGCTTGTAATAGTGCCAGTATAATGGAGAGATTTAATAGAGAGTAGTAAATTTTAACTTTTTTATGTGTAGATATACTTTCAGTAGTTCAGGCTTGAGTATGTTGAAAAATAGTACATGTGATGTCATAGATATATGTATATATACATACCTATATACATAGATATAGATTGAATATAGGTATAGATATATATGTATGTGTGTATGTACATACATATACATTGTGTGTATGTGTGTAGGTACATACATATACATTATGTATATATGTGTGTGTGTGTGTGCACGTGCACGTGCGTGTGTGTGTGTGTGTGTGTGCGTGTGTGTGTGTGTGTGTGTGTGTGTGTGTGTGTGTGTGCATGTGCGTGTGTGTGTGTGTATGTGTGTGTGTGCATGTGCGTGTGTGTGTGTGTGTGTGTGTGTGTATGTTTGTGTGTATTAATGTATATTTGTGTATGAAAAGAGAAAGAACAAAAAATATATATCCTTGACTTTATTGGAAACCTTTTTAGGTAGGCAGAGTTCTTAATATTGCTTTCCCCTTCCCCTATTATGCTCTACTCTGCTGTATCTATGTCTCCCTACAATGATGAATATATTTATTGACAGAAAAAATGAAATATTTGAGTAGAAACTAACCACCACTTCACATAAATTTTTTTTTTCTCTCCCTTGTCCCCCCGCCCCCCTTCATGCTGGAAAGCAATTTTACAAATAGGCCTACATTTGCCTGCCTTTTTGTTTGATAATTAAAGCACAACAGAACATTACAGGGGCTGTTTTGAGTAATGCCAGATGGTGCTATTGCCAAACAAGCCTTCCATTAGTAACAAGTCTACCTAAATTCAGGCAGCAAGGGACTTATTGGGAAAGTGCACAAATTTCCTGTGTATTGCTCTAGCCCAAAATTGTTATGCAATGGGTAAGGTTTTCAATAGTTTAGATGGCATAGGTAAATGATTATGTATTTTGGTATATATATGACCCATTTAGTGAAATAAAGAGTTCAAAAGTCTTAGGTGTATAAAATAAACACCTTCAGTATTAGTAATGGTTGCATTCATTGTGGAAGCTAATTTATTAAAAGGAAATATCTGCATGTTTATATATATATTTTTTTATGAGGAAATGTGGGTTGCATTAATTTTTATATACATTAATTTAAACTATGAATCACTGATTTTTTTTTCTTCTTTAAGTGAAAAGACTATCATATTATTTTCAGTAAATTAGATCAAGTGATACTTTATTTCACTGTCTTTTTTTTATTGAAGGGAAGAGGAGGTAAGTAAAACACTAATAAAATTATTAGTACATTCTACAATTAAAAGATATATTTTGCAATCAACATAAACAAAGACTATAATGAGTAAACAAAGAAAAAGAAATGTTTCCACAGTAAGTCCTAGAAACTTTTTTCAGCCTTAGATGTGGGACTTTTGGCAACTTCGAATGTCATATGTTTATTTTGTTTGTTCTTTGACAGCATTTAATTTTAATATTAGTGATGATTATATATTAAAAGTTCTTATTTTTATTCGTAACTATTGATTGCAATGTATGACATTTTGAAATTGCCATTCTGGTATAGATAGAAGTCCTAATTAATAAAAAGTGTCTAATTATTTATTTTTTCACAAGATTGTACATTTTAATAAGTGTGCGATTAATTATTTTTTCACGAGATTGTACATTTGTGCGAGAGGGAGAATTTGAAGACAGTTTTAGTTCACAAATGAGATCATTATATAAACCCTACTCTTGCTATTTTGGGTTCCCTATATAAGATTAATGAGAGAGGACTTAAAATTACGGATTATCTGAACTCGAGCTCGACGCACATTTTGACAGAGTATATATTTCCAGACAGACCAATGAGAAAGGAATTGCGACTTCATTCAAAACCGCTAGCTTGGAGATTCTAGTTTTTAGCGTCGTTTTCAGTTTGCTATCGGCTGTTATCAATATCCGTGACAGGTTGTATTTATGTCTTCTGTTTCGGAAATGTAAATCTTTGTCTGAAGTGCCACGGTCTGTATTTCAGTAAACAACAATAAATATTTTGTTAAAACATACCCTGTTTTACTGTTGACTCTTATTTTATTGTTTTATTGTTGACTTTGAGATTTTCCCTTTTAAATTAGATAATTTGTGCGGCAGGCTCCTATTGTAGGCAAGGCGTTTATATTATTTAACCATTAACCCTTTACTGGGCACACATTTTAAATACCTCATATATATACATGTATTTAAGTGATCATATATGGTCACTTGCCTGATAAAGGGTTAAAGGATGTCAAAGCTCAGAACTTCATATGCATATAAGATATTTAAAACTCATTTTATTGGGATATTTTGATAAATGTTTAAATATGATAGTTCTAATTT